CCCACCCTCAAAACTCCACACAACACTCATCACCCCCGGCCCCCAAACCTCTCGGCGCATCATCAGGCATAACAACCCGAGTATACTTCCCCTCATCCAACTCCGGAACCCCATATGGAATCCCATACCAGCTCGCAAGGATAGGCCAAAACGCACCCCACGAAAACCGCGAATCATCCACGATATTTAACGCCTGGTTCGCTGCCGCCTCGGTAAGGACGGCCCATTCCGCATGGTATGCTATGAGTTTCACAACACTGAGATCTTTATTGACATCCCAAGCCGCGATATTAGCGGGGAATTCAAGTGCGAGGCCGAGCTCTTTTTGGATGGTGGCATAGATTGCTAGGGCGTAGGTGATGTTCATAGAAGCTTCTTTCACGGCGCCGATGATGAAGCCGGGGCGTGTTACCGTCCAGGAGGAGTGGTGCTGGAGACACCAGGTGGAGAGAGCGTCTTCTTGGGGGAAGTAGAAGTTTGGGTGCGGTATGCGGGGAGAATCTTCGGACATGGGGAGTTTGGTGGGCCCGAGGTGGAGGGCATAGTGCTTGGCGCCGGTTTGGAGGAAGAAGCGGGTGGGGACTGTGCCGTTGATTGTTAGAGCGGAGAGGAAGTTTGAGAGAAGGGATACTGTGGTGGTGTTAGCTGTGTCTATTAGAAGGAATGTAGCAAAGGCATACCGTTCATTTTGTCCATTTCTTCGGTGTTGGACCAGAGGGCCTGGCCTAGTTTCGTCGGTGGTTGGACATAGGAGGCAAAGAATACATAGTCACTTGGAGCGTAACATATGAGCGGATGACTTCCTAGAGCAAGGTGTTTACTGACGCTTTGACACCTTCTTTCCTCAACAGTTCGGAAATATCTTCAGGGCTACTCAGAAAGTCCGCTGCAATTGCCTTGACATGAGGCTGTGTGCTCAGTGGAGGACGGCGTGAAATGGCATAGATTGTTTCCCATCGCTCTGGGCTTCCCGCTAGGACATCGACAATAGCTGAACCAGAGATTCCATTTGCCCCTGTCACGATTGCGGAATACTTTTTGCCATCGTGGGCTGGAAAGGTGGGCAAGTGGTGATAGATACCTTTGGTCTCGACTGTTAACGTAGTAGATGGCATCTTGGAAGGATATTGGAATATGAATTTTCGTTGATTCAGATGGGTCTCTCCTGAGTCTATGATTGTTTTGCTCAAATCAATGGAAATGGAGATAGAAATAAAGGACTTCAGGACCATAAATGAGTATTTATAGATCTATTCACATGTCTTCTTAATTACATGCCATGTAACAACTGCAAACATCGTGACTGATTTGCTAAGCCAAGCATCACGTCAAATACGGCTTCGTACTGGTGAAGAGGGATACAAAAGTTAATTTGTCATCTTGGTGCATTGTCTGTTCGATGCTTATTGGCGCAAAACTTCAAATCCAGCAACCACATCCGGTAATCCTGGGTTCGACCCCGCTCCGTGAAAACTTACAAATTGATTTCGTGCTTTAAGTCTGGAATAATGACATGGGGACTGGGCAGAATCAGGATTGATTTGCAAGTACAGAATGCGGAGTATGATTGATCAGCAATTAGATCGCCGAAGCCGCACGACTGTGATGCCTTTGAAGGGCAAGAACTTGCTTGGTGACTTCAAAGCGAGAGGAAATAGTGGGACAAAATAGGGTATATTTCGATTGTACCGTATTGTTACCACTTCAATCCTGACAAACGTTAAACTTCGCCACGCTAGGATCATGGTCAGAGACCTGCCCAGCATATGAAGCCCACGTATTAACATGTATAATCTCTTTCTTAGCCCCGCGCGTCAGAGCCTCGCTCACATACATGTGATCCAACTCTTGGCAATTCATGTCATAGAGATAACTATACCTCTCCAACTCATCAATCCCCGTAACTTCATCAACATCTTTGAGCTTCGAGACGCTCTCAAAAGTCTCGAGGGGGGCGACAAAGGTAAATTCGTTGAAATCGCCACTGGTTATGATCCGCGCGTTGCTGTCTTCTGCCAGAATGGAGGCGATGAAGGACTAGGTGCCATGCCATGTGAGATTTTGTTGGTAGTGAAAGGTGATGGTTTGAACTTACTGCTGTAGCGTTTGTCTGCGCGAGACGATCATAAACACCTCCATTTACAGGAGGTCTTGCGTCTCCCTCGATCGGAGACCCTCCACCCTTACTCCCGAAATGAACATTCACCGTGAAGAACTTGTTCTTTCCATCCACAGTCTCCCAAGTAGCAGCTAGCGGCTTCCTGCTCGCGGTCCATGCTGCATTCAGTGGGTCGATCCGGCCTGGATTGTATTTCAATTCTGGTCCTGGGAGGACCTCGTTGGCATCTGTGCTTGATCCTGGGTTGGGGTTTCGAAGTTGGAGAACCACTGGGTTGTAGAGATAGGCGACTCGGATGTTTCCTCCTGGTTCGCCGCCGTCTTGGTCATTTACTGGGTCGATGGCGGTGGATGCGTATGTGAGATTCGACCGCACTCGGATGGCTTCGACAAGTGTTGACAGCGTAATATTTGCATCAACCACTGTATCGCGTTAGATTTATATTTTGCAATTTTCATAAAAGAATTCGTACCACCTGTATCTGTTGCACCAGTATTATCTTGAATTTCTTGCAAAAACATTAGGTCTGGGGTCTTCAGATAGTCTACAATATGGGCCGCAATATTGGGGAGATGTGTGGTGTTTGGGCCTAGATTCTCAACATTATAAGATCCCACGGTGAGCCCTTTGCAGTCACCACAGGAACTAAATGTCGCTGGTGGTGGCAATGTTGGCTGCGCTGATCCAGTTATATTTAGAGCTGTGAGAGGGTTGATCACATAATATCCAAAAGCTTGAGTGACTACTCCCGTAATGTCCTGCAAAGAATCACCGACTTTCGTTCCTTTCGGATTGTCAGAGCCGTCCAAGGGGCTGGCAATCATAATAGCTTCTGGATTTGAGTCTGTAGGACCATGTTAGCATGCAGTTCCAAATCCGGTTCAAGTAGGAAGGTCTTACCATGGGAAGTGAGAGTTAGACCACCTCGTGAATTTAGGCCCGTGGTGTTCCAAGATCCAATCACCCATGTATCCCCGTAGGCATTAGGTTTTGCAATTGCTGTTGGCTTTTGAACTGTCACCAATTCCCCAGATAGGCTCTCCCAGAAATCTAACCCGTAAAGCTGAGGTTGGAGGGTCGAATTTTGAGCCGAAACTTGACTGGAATTGTTCGGCACCCCCATAATATCGCCCTTGTCTAATGAACTGAACTGCTCAGTCGGCGGTGAATCCGTTCCTTCACCAATAACCAACGGAGTAACTTGATTTCCAGTTGAGATGAGACTGAGATTTTTTGGCGCCGTAAGTTCAGTGAGGTACAAATACGCCGATGAAGATCGATATTCGGATACTGTGGCATCTAAAGTTATGATATCGCCGACGGTAAGATTCTTGCCAGCACTGCTACTAAAGACGTACACGGAATTCGACGATGTTGAATTAGACTTTGGCGTCGTGGACCGGATCCAGAAACCGCTGGGACCCTTAGCAGTGACCAGCCCTTGCACAGCCGAAACAGCCTTTCCGGCATACGGCGAGAGGAATCCAGGGCCATTTATCTCACCGATGTTCAGCGCCGATCCAAGGGAGAAGGCAGTAGCAGCAAAGCCAACGGAAAAGGAAAGGAACTTCATTTTGGCGGTCTATTCAGCTTGGGATTGACACTTTAAAAGTCGGAAATAGGACAGAGTTTATAGAAGAACTATGCCATGGCCTTGTATGAAAGCTTTGGAATCCATTCTATTTGGACCTTCCCCTTTCACGTGCGGTCTATTCGCGACGCCTCATTCCACCAATAGCATCAAACAATGACTTCTTGGCATCCGGTATAGCATGGAGGCTGAACCTTGGCGCCATGGAGGTACTGTGCGGGCAGTCTACTAGACTTTGGCAGGTCGGTAACACCGATGGTCGAAGCCATGAAGAACGAAAACGGAGGCTCAGAGGGGAAGGCCAATATAAAGTTTAAGGGTCAAGCGCTTTTTCGGTACATGCCGAGACATTTAAAATAACATCGCCGTGTCATAGCTTTTATCATCTTAATATATGATCCTGGGGTATATATTGCCCATTTTGAAAATGGCTTGGTAAGTTGGTGAAGGGAGATTTTGCTGTGGATCAACCAATCCTAAATAGGCAGGTGGCTCATGCACCGAAATAGGGGCTCCGAAGCTTGGTCGCAAGAAGGAAGCATAATCCATCAGCTTTGGGCCTCATATTTGGTGACCCTTTAGCTAGTAGAGAACAAGTCATGATGAGTGTGGTGTTTCGAAGGAATGTTCGCGTTAAGAGCCTTCACGCCATCCAATCTTCAGTTTCGTACATAGAAACTGATACATTTTCGTATCCCTAATCTAGCCCAATCCATTCAGTTTCATCATCATCCTCAACATCCATAACAGCATCTTGAGTATCTCCATTTAAAATACTCTTCAACCCATTCAGAACCACCGGCTTAGAAACCGGCTGGCTAAGCAAATAATCAATCGTATACACATTCTCATCCGCCAGTCTCCTCAGCTCATTCCTAATCTTCCCCACAGCACGACTGACAATCCTCAACTCGGCATCAACAGTGCCGCGATTATCGCTAACCCATTGTCCGTGTGATACTAAGATAGCTTGAACCCATAAAAGACAGAATTCTAGATGGGGGGATTCTTCGGTCTGCATGGCGACGAAACGGAGGAGTCGGGGAATATAGACGACGGGTGTTTCTTCAACTACGAGGCTGATGTTTTTGTGTGGGATTCCTTCGAAGACTTGGCGGATTAGGGGGGCTTCGTTTAAGCGGAATGCCATGACGAGAGCTTTGAGGTAGTCCTTCTCTTTGTAGAGGACATGTAATGTCGAAGCAGGCGTTACGGCTAGGTCTAGGTCGACGGGATCGAAAAGGGGTATTGTATCGAGGCTGTATATGAGAAGGCCTTCGGTTGATGCTGCGCAGAATGAACGCCCGGTAGGCGCGAATGATACGCCCGTGACTCTGACTTCTGGCATGCGTTTTCTGGCCGATGGATCACCACCTCGTGTTGCTCCAGGTAGCGATTTATCGATTCGATCTTCCAGGTCAGAAGCTTCTCCCTGCTCATCTATGAGCCCGGATGGTCCGGCTTCTGTCAATAACTTGCTGTTGAGGAACTCTTGGGTTCCAGATAGTGACAAGTTGACGCTGACGGTATAGCGTTTCAAAAGAACGAGTGGTGAGACTGAATACAGACAGATGTACTTGCTATTTCCACCTGCCAGCACACACTCCCCATCTGAGCTGTATCGAATGGTGCTGAAGCTCTTATTGCCAGCAGCATTTGCTGCGGTCCTACGGTCAGTGATTTTTCGACCTCCAGAGACATCTCGTCGGCCGTCGACTCCTGATTGTTGCTCTGCTTCGGACACGGACCAGAAAGTCAATTGACCATCTAGCGTAGAGACCGCAAGTTGTTTCGAGTCTGGCCGGAAAGCTAGATCTAAGACATCTGCTTGCAGCTGGAGCGGCTCACTCGTTTGTGTCCGGTCGAAGATTGACCAGATGCGAACGGTATGATCCCAACTTCCACTGACAACAACACCTCCATTAGGCGCAAATGCTAATGTAGAGACTGGTCCCTCATGACCTGCTAGTCTGTCAAGTAATTGTCCAGTTTGGACAGACCAAATATGGATATCAAATGAATCTAGTGAGCCAGCACAGACGACTTCACCACTTGGATCTACCGCCAAACTGGAGAATGACAGCCGGGTAGGCGCCGTAAATGTTCTGAAGTTTCGGTATCGGATAAGATCCCATGCTCTGATGGAACCGTCCAAACTTGATGTAAAGAGAACGTTCCCTCGTTTCGCAAATTCGCAGGCTGTAACGCCGCTCGTATGTTCTGTAAAAGTGACTATACAGAACCCAGAGTTGACATCCCAAACCTTGATTTTACCATCATCAGCAGTAGTAACAATCTTCTGGCCATCCGGGGAGTAGACTAGGGAGTTCATCGAATCAAAATGTCCCTGTTGTTTGAGGATATACGACTCTGATTGCCATTCCCAAACCAAGAGCTGACCCAGTTTCGAGGCCCCAAATGCGAGCCACTCTCCAGTCTTATTGATCGTAACAAAATCAATGTCGTTTTGTGAGATGCTCAGAGTGTGTATTTCATTAAACTCCGGCATTTCATAAAGACCGAAGACTCCGTCTGAGAATCCAACAACCAATAAATTCGACTCTGCGTGGAAAGCCGTACAGTTCACTTTTGTATTATTCCTCGAGAAGAAATGTCGTTCTGTTATTCTCCATCGTGTACGCGAATCCTCATCTGCATCTTCCATTTCCTCGTCGTCTTCCGGTAGTGGCGCATTTGGATCCCGCAAGTAGGCCCACTGGAAAACGGCGCCATCTTTACTGATTGTGTAGATCGTCTCCTGGTCCTTCGAAAAATACGCGCCCAGAACCCCTTCCCTGTGTCCTGCCAATGTCGTGGGTATAAAGCCATCCTCCGGATCTAAACTCCATATTCGAGCCGTCAAGTCTTTGGCGGCACTAAGAAAGAATCGGGAATCGCTAGACCATTCTAAGCTTTGTACTGTATCATAATGCCCTGTGTAAACTCTATGCCGTATGAATGGAGCGAACTCTAGTTCCCCTTCCGCATTTTGGTCGGGTGTTGAAGGTGTATGCCAGACCTCTATATGTCTCCCAATTCCCACTGCAAAATGTCGCCCAGACGGAGAGAATGCGAGAGCTGTAACGGGGGATTTGAAGGAGAAGTGGTGTAAAGCGATCCTTCTTGGTACATTCGTCAAGATTGCTCGACCATCTTCGTCAATTGTAAGAAGCAGATTACCCCGCGGTGTGAGGCCTATCCTGGCTATATTTTTTCGGTGTGCGAATGGGAGGGTATGTGATTTGTTGCTGCAGATTGTCAGATGCGATTGAATTCAGATTGATGAGAGTATACAAACTTTACGAGGTCGAACACTGTTACTCGATTTCCCACTGGGGAGAAGAGACAGGAGCCATCAGGACTGAAAAGTAGGTTTCCCTGACTATATACAGTCCCTAAAAGGTTGGAGAACTATAATAGGATTAGTGAATGGTATTTAAGGTATTTATGTGCGTATTTACCTTAAACTCCGTCTTCATTGTCACCGTTGATTTGACATTGCTGTTATCGAGCTTTCTTTCTCGATAATAAAAAAAAAGCCATATCGGTATAATTTTTTGAGAACCCGGGCCGAGTTAATCCGGGTGGGCAGAGTCAATAGGCCGCTAGACTTGTTTAGCTTAGCGTACCCCAGCTCAGGGGAACTTTTGGAAAGTGCGAATTTCCTCACACGGACGTCCAGACGTTGTTGAACAACTCCACCCCAAGTCATTTTCTCACACAACAAAGAGAATCAGCGAGAAGTTCAAACAACACCATCGCGAAGCACCAGCACACATTCTCACAATGGCTCCACCAACTTCAGAAAGCGCATCCCCAATCGGGATTGCCAACCTGTACGATAACCAGACTCCTTAATCAATTCAATGTCAAATACTGACTGTGTTGTAGCCCCAACCAACGCCATAAAATCGTAGCAAAGAGAGGAGCTGCGTTCACGATTATGGTTGCTGGTGAATCTGGATTAGGAAAGACGACCTTCATTAACACCCTCTTTTCCACAACTATCAAAAACTACGCGGACCACAAGCGCAGACACGCAAAGCAGGTGGACAAGACTGTCGAGATTGAGATTACAAAGGCCGAGCTGGAGGAGAAGTTCTTCAAGGGTATGCATTTTGAAGATTGCATATATCTGTTACGCCTACTAACAATTATGCAGTCCGCCTCACCGTTATCGATACACCCGGCTTCGGAGACTACGTTAACAACCGCGACTCGTGGATGCCAATTATCGAATTCTTGGATGATCAACATGAGTCCTATATGTTGCAAGAGCAACAGCCCCGCCGTGTTGACAAGATTGATCTTCGTGTCCACGCGTGTTTGTACTTCATTAGACCCACCGGACATACCCTGAAGCCATTGGACATTGAGGTTATGAAGAGACTAAGCTCTAGAGTCAACTTGATCCCCGTTGTCGCAAAGGCAGATACCCTTAGCCCAGCTGACTTGTCTCGCTTCAAGCAAAGAGTATGCTCACATTACAAACATTGAATGTGCAATGCTAATCTCAATTAGATTCGGGCTGTCATCGAGGCACAAGGCATCAAGATCTACACACCACCCGTCGAAGAAGATGATGAGCAAGCCGCTCAACACGCACGATCCCTTATGGGCGCTATGCCATTCGCTGTCATCGGTTCTGAGAAGGATGTCAAGACTGGTGATGGACGTATCGTCAAGGGCCGCCAATACTCGTGGGGTGTTGCTGAGGTCGAGAACGAGGACCATTGCGATTTCAAGAAGCTGCGCTCGATCCTGATCCGAACCCACATGTTGGACCTCATCCACACCACGGAAGAGGCACACTACGAAGCCTACCGCGCCCAGCAGATGGAGACACGCAAGTTCGGCGAGGCCAGACCCAGAAAGCTTGACAACCCCAAGTTCAAGGAAGAGGAAGAGAGCCTGCGAAAGCGATTCACTGAGCAGGTTAAGATCGAGGAGCACCGATTCAGACAATGGGAGCAGAAGCTTATTAGTGAGCGTGATCGCCTGAACAAGGATTTGGAGAGCACGCACGCTGCTATCAAGTCTTTGGAGACGGAACTTGAGGCGATGCAGGGTAGTGCTGTTCGCAGCCACGGCCGTCGTTAAACTACTTTGACTTGGCCTTGGGAAATGGTGTGATTTGGAGACCGCAAAAGTCAGGTTGATGGTGTTGGTGTTGTACGCAGGTCATTCGCAACACGATTTCTCCTTTCTTCTCATTGTAGCTACGGCTACCAATTCGGGATGTTCTGCGGGCGAAATTGGGAGTGAGTAGCTTAATTCTTAGCTAGCTAGCTTCATCTTCAGCTCACTGATGAACTGGATTGATCTTTATTAATTTTCTTAGCTTCACCTAGCCAGTATGTAATTCATGTCATGATTCTCATCTAGAACGTTCTTGTGACGTGATTTGAACTGACGCTGTATCATCTTTCATATTATTCAAAATTCATGCTTAGCCTCCCGTGGTATATAGCGTTCATACAGCATCCATACTCGCCCGCATAGTAAGCTGCTCATTCTTATTCCCCAACTTACTAATTTGCAAAAACGCATCAACACCGTACCCCTCTAAACTATGTAACTCCAGACTGCCCGCCCAATACTCGGCATACACCCTACTCAACGGCAAGCCCATGCCTAGCCTCAGATTCGGCGGCCTGGAACTCAAACTACTCAAGGAGCTATCCTGCCACATTGACATTTTTTCATCTAGCGGTAAAGTTGGAGGTGAAGGTGGAGGAAAGTTTGAGGACGGGGTAGCACGGAGTTCTTGCAGTGTGGCGGCCATTTTGGGGACTTGGTTCAGGTTTTCTAACCGCTGGTGTTTTCGGGGTCCTTTGCTAAAGGACCACAGGTGTGGGAGGATGTCGCGAGGGATTCCACCGCCTTGGTCTGAGACTCTGATAATAACGTGTTGTTGCGCCTCACAGACCGTTACTTCAATGGGCGGTACTGCCTCTCTTTTATGATTCCGCTCTACGGTTGCTTGGATGCTGTTCCGGAGTAACTCGCCGATGATGTATTCTAGATGTGATAGGATGTATGGGAATGTTGCGTCGAGGTGCCCGGATAGTTTTATGGCTGGGAGGGGGGTGGAGGGGCCGTAGGCTAGGGATGCGAGGGAGGCTACTTCGTGTCCAATGCGTGTTATCACTTCGGAGGCGTTGCAGCGGAGGAACACTTCGCCTACGAATTCAGCGTCTGTGAGGGAGGGCTTCTCGGCGTCGGGGAAGTGCCAGGGGGAATTGAAGGTTTCTGTTAGGGCGAGGTGCTGTTCTGCTATTACACGGCGGGAGATTCTCTATGAAGATTGAAGTTAGCTTTAGCTTGTATATATGGGATGGGTAGGGTCATACAGAGCGTAGGATTGTGTTCATAAATTTGTCCATGTTTTCTGGCTTCATCAAGTCCCTGCATTCTAGCACGCCCATTGCCAGCTTTGGAATCACGGTCAAATGCTCTTTTAACGTCTCGCCGATCTTATTGCAGAACTTTTCATTGTCTTCTAAGGTCTTGATTTCTCGTACCCTCCGCAGACTTTCGAATGCTTTGTAGTACAGTTCGTAGACGGCGCTTATGTGGGGGTTTGTGACTACAACGTAGGGGAGTGTTTGCATGTCTCGGATTCGATGTGCCAATCTACCAGCTTGTCAGAAGCTACATTTGGTAAACAGTAACGATTCGCATACCTAGTTGGCAGCTCTGTCCGCACATAATTCGCAGAGCTGATCAATCGAGCTTCAGTCAAAGAGCGCCCAAATACCATCAGCTGTCTCAAGCTGATCGGTCGAGCTTCCTTTCCAACCCAGCTGCCAATGTCAGCTCATGTCCAATTCCTCAAAGCTGGGGAAAGCTCACTCGTCCAGAGAAGAAGCAGGTCTCCATGGCGGAGGATTACTGGTATGGATTCTTCGAGTATGCAGCTGTAGGTCTTTGGCGCGATAGCCAAACCGTCTTGTCAACCCCAAGGTCCGTGGCCCATTTTGCGAATAGCTACGCAGCATGCCGACGATTCCATACAGTACCTAGGTAGATGAGACGGCTATAAATTCTGTTAAGGGAAAGAAATTCGAGTCTCGAGACCGCCTGCGAGGGATTTTAAGCAAAGCGGGGAGTTGTCTTGCACCACCTTAGGTTGACATGCAGCTTAAAAACAGCTTGGATTGGCCGAGTTCGGCGGTACCCCTGTCCTGTTTGACAACAAAAGCAGGATCAGAGAGACTAACTTGACTGAAAAATTATTATTCTATGGATTAGAGATATTAAAATCGAATGTATTTTTAAGATTGTTGGAATCTTGGATCACTAGCTATTTGCGTTACAAGATGACCTTACTTCTCTTCAGAGAGCTCTTCAACATGCATTAGAGCACGGATAAACTTGCCCCATGTAGCTGATACAGACACACGTTTCATGAACATAGAGTATATCTTTCGATTCAACGTGCATAACATCGAAGCTTACTTCAACGTCCCTTTTCAATATTCTTCAAAATGAGCGCTGAACCTGTAACCGCCGTGACTACTGCTGCTGAAGCAAAACCAGTTGCCGAAGAGCCCAAACCAGTAACTTCTGAAGCTCTTGAGCCCGTTGTTGAGGAGTCAAAGCCTGCGACTTCTGAAGTCGTGCCAGCACCTACCGAGACGGCCAAAGCAGAAACATCAGAAGCTGTACCGGAAACAAAGCCAACCGCTGATGAAACAAAACCGGCAGTCGAAGCTACCCCAGCTGCAAGCCCATTGTCAAATCTATTCGCTGAACTCCCTTCCATTATCAAAGATGCAGAACACAATGAGATATGGGGTATTGAGCTTGCTGATGAGTCTCATGTTCCTACCACCATCGTTCTTGAGAAGTTCCTGAGGGCCAACACCAAGGATGTCGCCAAGGCAAAGGCTCAGTTGATCGAGGCTTTGAAATGGAGGAAGACCATAAATCCCATGAAGCTTTTGGCTGACGAGGAGTTTGATACTTCGAAGTTTGGTGGATTGGGTTATGTCACGCTTTACCCTAAAGCCGAGGGGCATGGGAAGGAAATCGTTACGTGGAATATCTATGGGGCTGTTAAGGACAATAAAGCCACCTTTGGGGATGTCGAAGAGTAAGTTCTTCCTCAGCAATGGGCAGTATTATCATTGACATATTCTCAGATTCGTCAAATGGCGTGCAGCTCTCATGGAGCTCTCACTCAAAGAACTTGACCTCTCATCAGCAACTGAGAAGATCCCCGAAAATGGAGAAGACCCATACCGTATGGTTCAAGTCCACGACTATCTCAATGTCAGCTTTCTCCGTATGGATCCTACCATTCGTGCTGCTTCGAAGCAGACCATCCAGACGTTCAGCATGGCTTACCCCGAGCTTCTGAAGGAAAAGTTCTTTGTGAATGTTCCGCTGGTCATGGGATGGGTGTTTACCGCTATGAAGGTGTTCCTGTCGCCGGAGACGGTGAAGAAGTTCCATCCATTGAGCTATGGAAGCAGTCTTGCGGGAGAGCTACCGAGTTTCGGGAAGGAGTTGCCGACTGTTTATGGTGGGAAGGGGAAGGATATTGAGGAGGGACTGACTGTTAAATACGGTGCTTGAATGAAGTAGAGGGATGATCTCTTGAGTTGGAGCGTCCACCCTGGAAGTATGGCTTTGTGGACAGCTCGGATATATTTGCTTTTTGTGCTGCTCAGCGTTGCAGAAGATAGATACCTATACCCCACTCGATTCGCTCATTGAATTTTGTATACCCCATCGCCTCACAATTACATTCGGTGACACTGCACTTCCCATAGAGTTTGATTTTTCAACGATTCTTTTGCTATGGCAGCTAGACATAAATTAAATCTAGACCGCTTCGCGTAATTACAACAGCCATCGCAGCCGTGCTCTCATGACCCTTTCGATCTTAATTGCTTGTAGTTGTTAACATATTTTACCGCGGCAATTAGTTGACTAACATCGATTGATGAGTAGCTGAATGTAGAGAGCAGCTTCTTTAGTGTGGACAGACCACCATATTCATGATTGATAAGAAACCAGTCACACCACCAGCACCACAACAACATTCACAGCTTTGAGGTCGGTCAAAGTATATTTAATACCACTTCAAGCACGTATTGGACTTTTGCCCTAGCACTTTATTCTCCAACAACATTTCACAATTTTGATAATCTTCTACTTCCATCAAACCGTGTGAGGATAGACGATTCGCTGCAAGCCCACGCGACACCAAGCCTCTGTCTCGCGACTGTCAGCCTTGCAAAAGAACTCACCTCGACAAAATATCTACACACGCACCCACACGCTGTGTCTCACTTACTTAATTATTATCTCCAGAATATATTAGAAGCTAAGAGAGTTGGCCGCCTCTACACATTTGTCAAGCTTTCACGATCAACGGCTGTCGTAACGTCTGCGGCGCGTCTTACTTCATCCACGGCCGCCCGGCCACACGTCATTGGATCCCGCAAAATCGCTTGTGAGCTGCCCTTCTTCGCGCCTTCCAACTATTCGACTGTATCCTGCACTGCACAGCCTCTCCTCTCTTTCCGAACGAAAGTTACAGACAAAGAAATTTTCCTAAATTGCCCTCCAAATTGGCTTTGGGATTACAATTTCCATTGGGAAGGCGTACCTGATTATTGTTTGCAGTCATGAATCCTGTAAGCTCTTCCATTTTTCCCCCTCCTCCCGCTCCCCCTCCTAGAATCCC